GGGATAGAGTCCAAAACCTGGGCATATGCCCTGTCTAGGAATTGAACTGTGACCTCCTGGTTCATAGGTCAACACTCAACCACTGAACCATATGGGTGGGTGGGGGGGCAGGGGAGGGCAACCACTGAACCATGTTGGCAGGGGGGGGGGTTGCCCTGACCATCTTTAAATATCCTTCTTTATAATCTCTTGACAATGGTGACCCTGTGGTTATTCCAATTCTATTAGACAAAACAGAGTTTAATTTGGGGGAATTTATGAGAGTCCCACTGGGGTTGTGATCCCCAAATTGTTTCCTAGTTCCAAGACCCTTCTGTAGGCTCTAAGCCTGTGCTTAAATTGTGCGAAGAAGGTCTGAGCTGTAGTGCTCTGGATGTGTGTTAAAGGAAGATTGTGGAAGCAGTAAAGGGAGAGCTTATTATTTGTTTGGTTTTTTTGTTCGTTTATTTTTGGCTTTTTTTGTTTTAATGAATACTAATATGAAGTTTGAGGCTGGGGAATGGAAAGGCTTACAGTTGAAGCTCTCAGAGGTGCTGTGGAAGAATTTTCTGGAATCATAGGACCTAAAGGGCCTGAGAATTGATCCTTTCAAAGATGACAATTGAAGAGGCTTGAAAATAATAATTTTTATTTGTTCTCAATTATCCTGAGTTATTTCCATTTATTGATATGACACTTTTGAGTACATGATTGTGTTTAGAAGTAAGCTATTTGATCAAGATATCTTTTCTTATCATGTAACCAGATTTGTCAAACTGCAGCTATCTGATTTTTTTTCATATTTCTTAAAAAAAATTTTTTTTAATTGCTTAAAGTATTACAAAGAGCATTACATATGTCTCCTTCTGCACACCCCCTCCCCCACCTTGACATTCCCCTGGCCTCCCTTACCCCCCAGTGTCTTGTGTCCATTGGTTATGCTTATATGCATGCATACAAGTCCTTCATTGATCTCTTACCCACCCCTCCCAACCCTCCCTGGGCTTCCCACTGTAGTTTGACAGTCTGTTCAATGATGCTCTGCCTCTGTACCTATTTTTGTTCATCAGTTTATATCTGATTTTAAAGAGGTGTTTCTGGGAGTCTCATTTACCCCGTTGTAAATTATATTTATTAAGGTTACACTAGCTGCTAAAACACATGTCCAAAAAGTATATACTGATTCCAACATGATAGAAGTTTATTTCTTATTCATATAAATTCAAAACAGAAATTCTTATTCAAGAGGAGGCTTTCCTCCAGGAATGACTTGGAGACCCAGGTTCCTTCCACATTGTGGCTCTAGACTCTGCCACCTTCAACTAATGGCTTCTGTGGTCACCATGCTCATCTACATCAAGCTATAGAAATAGAAAAAGCATGGAGGACAGATGGCACATAGGAGATCTTCATGAGCCATCCTGGAAGTGATTACAGCCACTTCTGCTCACCGTTTTGTGGTTAGAACTCAGTTATACACAGTCACACCTAATTGGGAGGGAAGCTGGGAAATGTAGTATACCTGTGTCCCAGGAGAAGTTTAAATTGTGTGAAACTACCCCCTGGCAGTTTCTCACTCTCAAAGCCACCAAAATTGACCTTAAATTGTTCATGATTTAAAAAGAAAATGTGCAGCCTGCTGGTATAGCTCAGTGCTTGAGCATCAGCTTATGAACCAGGAGGTCATGGTTTAACTCCTGGTCAGGGCAGATGTCAAGGGTTTCAGGCTCGATCCTCAGTAGGGGGCATGCAGGAGGCAGTCAATCAATATTTCTATCTCTCTCTCCCTCTCCCTTCCTCTCTGAAAGAAATAAAAATATATTTAAAAATAAAAAGTCCAATTTCATTTTGGGGGGTATTTTAAAAAGTCAGAGTTTGTACCATCATGTCATAAAATATGTTTGTTGGTTCCAGGTTTATGGCAAATGCAAAGCATTATATTATGTGAACAGGCCACTAAGAATTCTTTATTTACCTGCTTATAACTGCACTCTTCGCCCAGGTAAGAGAGCTCTTTTATTCTGTTTATTTGAATGAAAGATGGAAAAAGTGAATTAAGCAGGGTTATGCTCCTGTTCTTATT